GGGAGGACTACTGGGGACACGTCTTCTGGGACCAGGTAGGCTGGGGCTGGTGGTACCCGGGACGTGCAGCTTTTCCGCAGCAGCTGAGGCTGAGCAGCCCAGCGGGAGGCATCTCGTCCCCAGGCTCCTGCTCTGTTGGTAGCAGCTGCCAAGGCCCAGACTGTTTTCCTATCTCAGTTTCCTCCAAGAGGAGCCTTTTCACCTGTGCTGGCTGTATAGGTCAACTGAGGGATCTCTCTAAGCTGATATCTGGGGCTAAGGCGGTTTTGGTCACTCGCTCCAGGGAGGCCAATGCACAGGGATCCTCAGTGACTAGCTTAGAGCGAGGGCACAAACTTGTAGCTCTTCAAAATTAGTGAGATGAATCTGCCTACCCAGCTTCGGCTCTGCCACAGGCAGAAACAGGGTGTGGGTGAGCCTTATCATGCCTGAATTAACCAGAGAAAAAATGGAAGGATTTCACCGCTGGATTATACTGGGGCAATTCCTCCTCCTGTGCAAAGCCCAGTCTGGTCTCTCAGTGGACAAGTCTTTTCAGTTCTTGGTTGCTTCTCCCTGGTTTTGACTCTCCCCTCTGTAGCACAAGTCTTTGGAGGACTCCTGCCTCCCCTGTCTTGTGTGGTGGGGATTCCTGCTATGATTATTTTAGCGAGATACCCTGGGAAAGACTACTGTAGCGTGGCAGATGCGGGGCGCCTGGCCATGTCTGTGGGAGCAGAAACATTCCCTTATGGATACATTCCTTTTAATAAGCCGAGGTGATAGCACCCTTGGGCAGCGGCAAAATCACAGTCGGAGCACGAACAGGGATGAGGAATGGAGCTGTGCTTGAAGGATGGTGGGAATGTCCCCCACCAGCAGCCCCTTCCACCATCAGCCCCTAATGATGTGCCTTGCTTTGCTCTTTCCAGGACACCTGGATATTCCCGAACATCCTGTTGTTTTATCCTGAAGCAGCCCGAGCCATCTTGGAGTACCGGATTCGCACGCTGGGAGGAGCTTTTCGCAATGCGCAGGAGCAGGGCTACGAGGTGGGGACAGGGAGCTGGGGTTGTGCTCAGCCCAGCCAGCACCACCCAGAAGGACACTCGGGCTTTGCCCCTCCTCGGTGGTTCCTCTGGGCACTGCCCGCAGGCAGCGGGGAAGCCCACCTGCCCCACGGTGTTTCCTCCTGCCAGGGTGCCAAGTTTCCCTGGGAGAGCGCAGCCACCGGCCGGGAAGTCTGCCCGGAGGAGATTTATGGAGCTCAAGAAATTCATGTCACGGGGGATGTTTTGATGGCCTTTGAGCAGTATTATCACACCACACAGGTAAAGCGAGCGGGTGACACGTGGCTGGCACACACAAGGGGCCAGCCCGGTGGCAAGGCCTGCAGGGCATCTGCTGATTGATGCTGTCCCTTCCCAGAGAAGCTCTGCTGTTATCTGCTCCACTCAGAGTTGCCATTAACACCACAGGTCCCCTTCTTCAGCCTTGGCTCTTCTGTCCTTGCTCCTCATGGATGGCTCAGCACCCTGTTGCCTCAATCCAGGCCAGTTTTCCTGTCCTCTTCTCCTCCTATGTCTGTTTCATTAGAGTTCCTGTCATCTCACTGAATTTGGGCCTGGTAGAGTCTCTTTCTCATGTTCCCCTGTCTCCGTTTTTCTCTGGTGCGGGTCCTTCCAGGACCAGAAGCTGTTCAGGGAGGATGGAGGCTGGACCCTCGTCAGTGCCGTGGCTCAGTACTGGTGTAGCCGCATGGTGTGGAATGAGGAGGAGCAATGCTACCACATCAAAGGTACTTCTGCAGCTGCCAGCCCTCGTTATGGGGAAAGACCTTGCAAGAAGAAACTCAGAGCCCTTCCAGCTCGACCTGAGTCCATGGGCACTTGAGACTCCTGCCCTTTCGAGTATCTCATGGAACATATTCCTGGCCATGTAAACACAGGGCATAGATGCCAAGATCTCTTTTCCTTAGCAAGTTCTGTGCACCCCAAGCTCACCTAAAGTGTCTTTTCCCTCCCTTGGTCACAGTGCTGAATTCTGCCAGCCCAGAGGTTTGTGTGTTAGTTCATATCTTCTCTTCTCAGTGCCACAGTAGCAGTTGTTTCTCTCAGTCCCTTGGCTCTCAAGGGATAACTCCAAATGTCTCCTCCTTCGGCAGCACGAGCTGACGTGACAAGAACAGATGCCATTTCAGGTCTGCTGTTGTGACTGCTGGGATTTAGGGAAAATGCAGGGCATTGCCTTCACGAGGCTTTAGAGGCAAAGGACTCTGCAGCACTGAGACGACATACATATACGTATGTATATCTTATGCTGTTTAAGCACTGGTAGGTGCTGTTTGTGTTTCCCGCTGAATGAGGGCTTTGAAGAAAGCTAGAAGTGAAGCAGAGGTGTGTGTGTGGGAGCAGGATCTGGAGCAGCAGGCTCAGTAAGAGCCAAGGGCTCCGTGCACAGCTGGGGTGATCAGAGCTAAAAACGTCCCTGGAGTTGCCTGAAGCAGCTCTTGGTCTGCAGATCCTTTGCAGAGAGCCCAGGATCCCAAAAAGAATCGTGTATTTAAATGGCTGTTTTCACTTTTCTCCTGGGCTTGTCTCTTCCTGGGGATAAGCTGTACACGCTGAGCAAAGAGAAGATCCGAGCTTGTCGGCAGGGAAAAATATCCCCCCAGCAACTCGAAGATCACCTCGCCTGTGGGTCTCGTCCCTGAAGCGAGGGGGGTGCCTGCAGGCTCAGACTGTGTCACACAAAGCTTTAAGCCAGCACGTGTCTCCTTCACAAGCGCCACCACGTAGCGCGGCGTCCTGCCCGACTGGGGAGGCCTGCGGACGTGCGTCGCGGCAGCGGGGGCACGGAGGCACCGAGCCTTGGGCGTGCTGCAGAGTGAAGTGTGTCCTGCCTCTCCCTTCAGGTGTCATGCCCCCCGATGAGTATCATTACCGGGTTGATAACTCTGTTTACACCAACGCCTTGGCCCAGAGGAGGTAACGCGCATGCTTTGTCGAAGCTCCGGACTACCTCTCTTTTCTGCTTCACAATCTGACAAGACTCCAACGTGCAATACACCTTTTCTCTCTTTGCGTGTCTCTGTTTTGGAGCTGATCTCCTCTGGCTTCCTCTACAGTCAATGGAGAAGCTGGTCTTTCATGGTGATTCGTCTGCCCTGTTCCATTTCTCTGTGTTACTGAGAGGAGTTTCACTACTGAGAGCAGAAATGCAAGGGCATCTCTCTCACGGTGTTGGGTGGGAAATCTATACAATTAGCCAGGTGAAGACATCTAAAGTTATAGACACTGTGTTCCATCTCCAGTGATGATGACACTTTGTCCAAGTTTTATGCTTTGACCCAGATTCTTTTAAAGTAACTGTTTCTTTGCAAGGAACACAACTCAGTTCTTTCTGTATATTCCCTTCCCTATTTTTCACTCTTGGAGGTGTCACAGGCACCCAGAGTTGATGCGAATGGTTGTTGCTTGGTTCTTCTCAGTTTATGTTTTGCAGCGGACGTTGCGCGGGACCTCTCGCTCCCCGTGCCAGAGGAGTGGGTGGAGCGCGCCGAGAAGCTGAAAGTGCCCTTTGATGCAGAGAAGAAATACCATCCCGAGTATGATGGTTACAGCCCAGGTGAGGGCAGGGGCAGCAGAAGAGCCGGGCTTGGTCACTGCTCTAGCTGAAGTCAGTCCTCAGTGGGGGTTCTGGCTAGTCCAAAGGCAGGAGTGATGGAGACAGGGTCAGCCGAGAGAGGGAATTGCAGTGCCACTGCCTGAGCACACCCGTGGTGTGAAATCACTTAAATTGCCTTCCTTTTCCAAAGAACCTGTTTGAGAAGTGGTTTCTGCTGCTTGGTGGATCGTTTCTCATTACTGGCCTCATAAAATCAGGAAAATCAGGTACAAAGAGTAAAAAAAAGAGGCCTGTAGTACTTGAGGTACTGGACTGCAGGCAAAACGGTTGCTACGAACCCGTTTCTGATCATTAAGGCTAGCTATTTTTCCAAGGCCAATTTCTGCCCTTTCTGAAAAACACTGGCCCTCTGAAAAGCGAAGGGCTAGTTGAAGTGGAAATGCACATTCTGGCATCTCCGACCCTGCTGCCCAGGCCCTCTTTGCAGTTCTGTTACCTTTCCCCTGTTGACGTGGCATCGTGTTTTCTTAAGCTTGTGATTCTCTGCAAGTCAGATTTGTTCTCCTTCTCAGTAGAAGGACCATCAACCTGCCAGTCACCTCCAGCTGGCATATAGGGTCCGACGGATGTTGGCTCCTTTCCCCAGGTGAGTCCGTGAAACAGGCTGATGTAGTCTTGCTTGGGTTCCCCCTGATGTACCCCATGAGCGCTGAAGTCCGGAGAAACGACCTGGAGATGTATGAACCCGTCACTGTGCCGGATGGGCCAGCCATGACCTGGGTAAGGCAAGGGGCAAAGCCTGGGCTGGGATTCGTCAGCAAAGTGGGAGTTTCCATCTGAGCTGGATCCTTGGAGGGGGCAGCAGCAGGTGAAAGGACAGTTTTCTCCCCTGCAGAGCATGTTTGCTGTGGGCTGGCTGGAGCTAAAGGAAATGGAAAGAGCACAGAGTCAACTGAACAAATGTTTCAGCAACATCACGGAGCCCTTCAAGGTTAGCTGTGTGCAGTGTGGTTGCTGCTTTGCTGTCACAAATGCTTTTTGCCTCTCAGTGTGATGGGACCTGTAGCTCCAGAAGTCCCTTCCCACCTCAACTGTTCCGTGACCTATTTGGAAACAGGCCAGAAAGAAATATCATTTGGACTGTGGAGCCTATGATGACTGCGCTTGTGGCCTCCAGGTTATTGTTATATCAAGATAAGAGGCTGCAGGCTCTGTCTCCTCTCTGCATGCTTCCAATGAGCTGTGAGGAGACACCTCCTTCCTACCAGGGAATACAAAGCCAAGGGGTCAACATCATGCCCGCTTCAGGCTTCCTTCTGTCTCTCAGGGGTGGGGAGGCGACTGAAGTTGGGACTTGGAGACGTATCAGAGCCCAGCACCGCGTGCTGAGATGGGCAGCACAGTATGATCCTTGCAGCACCCTGAATGCGTGACAGTAAAGACATTAACCATCTCCAAACCCACATGACTATATGAAGAGCTCCAGTACAACTGCTAAGTCATTTCTTTTTCTTGCTGGAGCAGATCTGGGTGGAAAACTCTGATGGATCAGGAGCTGTGAACTTCCTGACAGGGATGGGTGGATTCTTGCAAGCTATCCTCTTTGGCTACACAGGGTTCAGGTGAGACCTATGTTGGTATCTTCTTTACTTTCCAAGCAACTGAAAGTCTCTGGAAACCACGTCATTCAATGGGAGCAACACGCTGTTACTGGTGAAAAAGAAAGGAGCTTTGAGCATGTAGCAGCTTCCAGAACATGCCCATCAGAAACTCCTAGCGGGTGAGGGACAAGCAGGAGCAGGACTGTTGCAAGTCCTGAGGAAGTCGTGGCTACTTGTTGGCTAGTGAGGAACAGAGCAGAGTTTTTGGAAGCAATGAACTTTGCTCCATTTCTCCTGCAGCCACATCAGTGTTTTAAGGCTTCAAAGGGAGCCAAAGTTAGACCAACAGAGCCCTGCTGCTTATTCAGAAAGGCTGTTTCGTTGTAAACCACTTTTGCAAATAGCAATCCTCACCCTCTGCAGCTACCATCACACCACACCGCAGTAGGCATGTGCTTTCTATTTCAAAGAGTGGAAACAGAGATTCAGAGTAGGGTCTGAGTCATACTGCAAGGGTAAGTGTCACTCTCCAAGCTCAGCCCTCTGGTCTAGCACTCTCTCCCACTGACTCAAATGTCACATGGAAACTTACCTCCTTTTGAGGGGAAAAAATGAGGACAACAATCTTGAGCAAAACTGCTGCTTTATCAAACTGTTTTCTGGCTTCCTTTCCTTATCTCTGCTGAATAGGAAGGGAATTACCAGAGGCAGAAACCCCCTTCTATCCGTGTTGCTTGTGCATGACACTACCGGGCAATGGTGGATATTGCCATTTTTGTGACACTGCTGAGACAGGAAGAAACCTGAAGGTATTTGATCTTCACAAACAGGCTTTCTCTAGGCAGGATGCAGGGTGGAACGTAAAGAAAAGAGGAAGGTGTCTGCATCAAGGTCTAGTTGGTTTATTTAAGCAGCAGCGATGGCGGTCGGCTGGTTTCCAGCAAAGCAGTTGGTTCTAGCTGGTTCGCAGGAGGTTGTCTGGAGGTTGGTTCTGGCCTGAGACTTCTACCTAGCAAGAAGCCAACTGAATCAAAGAGCAGATACCCTCACGGATCTCGCCTGAAGGTGCTGGAGGAGCACCTTGCAAGAACGACCATGGCGCAGTCACATACCCCGTCCCTAAGGGCAGGAAAGAGAGCGTCCAGCATGGATGAGTTGAGCAGGGATCAGGAACGGCAGCTGGCCAGCTCCTCCGGCCGGGCTGAGGATCCCTCCCTTCCCCTTGCCTGGGGCTGTTGGGCTAAGGTAGCTCCTTGGAAGGCTGAGAGGCCCCTGCACACCCAGGGTGTGGAATTGCTGTAACATTTTACTGCAGGGTGCCCCACTTAGTTGCGCTCATTGCTGGTTGCTCTTTACCCATTGATAAGACTATCCCTTATAACAGTCCTGCCGATTAATGGTGGATGTTGTGATCACAAAGATCTTGTGCTGGCGAATAAAATCAACCTACTCAAGCCCATTGGTTTTTGCCCCTCTGGATTATTTTACTGTGCCCCTTAATGAGATAGCACGACAAACTGCCAGCTTCGCCTGCGAAAAATGCAGCACATACAGGTGTAAAACCTTCTTTAGTGCCTTAGGAAGGATATGCTTATGTGACCCTGAAGGTCTTCGGGCTTCTGCTAGAACCTCGAGCATTTAAATGTCTCTGAAAACGCTTTAAGTCATTCGTATAATTTCAGAGGTTTTTCTCAGATCCCCAACCTAGTGGTTTCATCCCTGAAGCAAGAGTCCCTCGAGGGTATTCTTAGCGTTTAACTGGGGGTGGATCAAGCTGACAAGCCTTTTGATTTGTAACAAAGCCTTCTAGCACTAACTATATGTGTTTTTACTGTGCGTGTGTGTGTGGCCAGTGTTTGTTGAGGGACCCACCAGGCTCTTGGTGGAGCTGGGTGTGAGCTGCCACATTCCCCTGCTGAAAACCTCAATCCCAGCTTTTGCAAACCACAGGGATAGCGCTGAATTGGAAGCCCTTCAAATAGGCAAGAGCAGGAACTGCTGCAGGTTTGTGAATGCAGCTTCACTGTCACAGCCTGGAGGGAAAGGGAAAGCCCAGCTATGCATGCGCATGTCTAACACAGCAGATTACTGACAGCTGAAAGGGGTGGTCTGAAGTCTCAATTTAATTTAGCAGCACTTCCTGGGATATCTCCGCTAGGACTGAGGTGAATAACTCCCACTATTTCCTTAGTGGGGCCATACAGCTTTCAGAACAGTGGTAAGTGGTGACATGCAGTTGCTATTAGGTTTTCTTTTGCCTGGAGCTGAGTTTGCATCCTACAAATCCAGGCTGCAGACACCACCAGCACTCTTCTCAGCTATTCACGTTGCTAGAGTTTAGTTCCAGTACTGACCATGGCCTAGAGCCTGAGCCCACCGTTGCATCCTAGTGGATTTTGGTGACAATTCCTATGAATAGCCGCCTCTGCTTCCCACTTATTTTTCCTGCTGCCTCTTCTCCTCCCTGTCGCGGAGTGAGCCATTCCTTTAGTTTTGCCGGCATAACCACCTCTAGTAGTGGGAAATGTACGAAAAAGCTTTTTGTTTGTTTGTTTTTAAATCCAGTCGAATGAACCCCATGGACCCTGGACGGCTGTGTCGAAATAACTGAGCTGGAGCAGGGACAAAAATGCCTCAGGGTTTGGGTTGGTGGTGCCATAGCCTGAGTAGCTCTGCAGCAGATGCTTCAGTGGTGTGTTCTGGATTTGCCAAGAGCTTCTTGCTGAGCTATGGAAGGAGTAAGAGGGCTGGACCCTGGGGGATATGGGGCTGTGCTGTCTTGGGAAATGGCTTTTTTTGTTTGTGGCCCTGGTTATTCCCACCACTGACTTGCTCCTCCTTTGCAGGATTACTAAGAGCAGCCTTCGCTTTGACCCTGCGTGTCCTAATGACATCGATAAATTGAAAGTCACTGGAGTCTCCTACTTGGGCAACAAGCTCAAGTTCACCATCACCAAAGAAAAGATGAAGATCAAGGTGACTAAGTCTCCCCGTGGCCCACCAGCATCTCTCCTGGAGGCCGTGCTGGAGGAATCGGGGCAGCGACTTCTTTTGTATGAAGGTACAGTGTCTGCTGGGCACGGAGCCTTCTGGAGGGCGAGTTGGCCAAGTGGTTATCAGGCAGCGTTTTCTCCTCTCTAGCCATTTAGAAAGTCATCATTTGGGCTGGATTCTTAAAATATTGCAAGGAAGAGCGCGGGAGAAGCCATTCCCACCCTTCACGTGCTTTGGCTTTGTTGCAGGGCAGAGCGTCTCTTTCTCCACGTCAGCTGGCTGGATTCGGAGGTCGTCTGCTGAGGCGTTTTAAACCCCAGTGGATATGGGGCTTGTGTGGCAGGTACTAGTATCCCCTGAGTCACAGAAACAAGTCAGGGAGCAGAAGCTCTTGGCGAAAAGGAAGGGTCAAGGCACCCCATGCTGCCATGCGGTGGGTGGGTGTCCTGGTCTGTACCAAAAAACGTGTGCCCCGTGGGACTGTGTACACCTTCTCCTCCCTTGGCTCTGGGCCTGGCTCCTCACAGGCTCTGGGAATCAATTTTCAATCAGGCTTCAAGTTTTGCTTGACTTGTTGTTATCTGTCACGTTGTAAGTGCACAGCAGGTTCTCCCCGAGGATCATGATGGATTTGGTCATTCAGAGAGGGGGATTTGCAATCGGGTGAAGGTGGGATGTTTAGGCCCAGTTTGAAACAAATCACCTGCAATCTCTAACAATCCTGGGGAGGCCAAACACCAAGAAATTCTCTGACTTGGCTATTTGGAAGCAGCTAACGCTCTCTGTGGACTTTCTGCACCGCACCATGCGCATGAACATCCCACTGGATCGAGCTGCCTTGTTTGCATTCAGTCCTCTGCTGTTTTCTAAACATCCGTGACCGGTTTATTAATGCTTTAAACATCTTCATTTACAAGGGTGTTTCTAGTTGAATGAATCTGTATTTGATCCAGGGTGTACGTGCACTAAATCCTACCTTCTCCATACACATACCGACTTTACCCTTTCCTCCTTGCTTACCTAGCTCAGTTTGTTGCAGGGCAGGCAAAAGCAGGACTAAACCTGACAATAACTTTAATTTGAGTCACAAAACAAAAATCTGAATTAACCTGAGTTCCTAGAGGGCCTGTCCCGTGGCTGAGTAACATGCACCTTCCATGGCAGCTCTGCAGGTACTTTTAAGCGGTTGGAACCATCTTAGCCCAGTTCTGGCTGGCATACACTTCCTTTTCTTTCAAGTTATTCTGATTATAGCAAGCATACCCAACAATTTAAGCTTTTATCCCATTGTCTACATTCTGATCTCTCCCTTGAAGCAGTTTGAGACTTGAGGCCCAATGCAACTTGAAGCGTGAAGGGGTAGAGAAAACACAGGCATCGACCGCTGTTAATGTTATGTCAGACGGGAACGAGCGCAGAGCTGTTCCTCTGCCCAACCAGCACAAGCAGGAAGGGAGGAGGTGTCAGGTACGTGCTCAAAGGCATTTTTTTGGTGTCCTAGAAAACCACGAATGCTGCAGTCAGTGCAGATGAGCTCTCCGCCCGCGCTGCAGGAGTGACGCTCTCTTTCCTGGTGCCGAGCTTCCGAACGAGCTCGGTGGAGGCTGGAGAACGGAGGCACCAGCCCTTGGCCCTCGGCTCGCTGGGCTCAGGCAAGGCAAGCCCCGGCTTGAACGGCACCGCTCCTGCAGCCGAGCGTCTTCCGCAGCCATGTGCCTGCTCGAACATGTCTTCTGGAAACAGCACAAGGAGGAACAGGAAGGGGTGGCCGGCTGGCCTGGGGAGGGGCAAAGGATGCATTAAAGGCCCGAGGGGGAGGCTGCCGCTGGCCTTTTATAGCCTGGGCAAACTAAAGTCGCGTCCCTGGAGCCACAGCTTCTGGTTAAGAGGGGCAGGTTGTGTTGGAAAGTAGAAGCCCTGGGCATGCGCTGTGGGTACAGATGTTGGGGCGCGACGCCCTGAAGGGCCCGGCGCTCCATACCGTGGCTTGCAGCAGCTTCTGCTGCCGCTTCCTCGTTCCTGAACGCAGTTTTGGTGTCTCCTCTCCCTGCTCCACCACCTACCTGTGACATGCGTTTTCTACAGCAGACGTGTCAAACAAGGGCGCTTCAAAGCCCTTTTTTTATTGTTGCTTTTCTGTAAGCAAACCTCAGAATTCGCAGTTTACTCCCCGGGAGTTTATAAAAAGCCCTGTGGTGGCTCCGCGCTGCAGGCAGCATGTGGGAATGCTTAGGGAAGGAGCAGAGACGGTCCCGGCCTTGTAATTACCCCAGCTCTGCGGCACCCCTGCCAAAAACCGCTGCACCACTAACTACCCCTGGCTCCCAGCATCGGGGCAGGACTGAAACACCCCTCCTTCCACCCCGGGATAACGGGTCTTGGGCTGTGTCAGCATCTCCTTTCACCAAGAGCTGCAAATTACTCCCTTTCTTGCCGCAAATACCTGGGGCAGAAGCTGCGGCCACCTCCGATACCTTGGGCAGAGCCGTTATCTGAGGCCTGGATCGTGGCAAGGGGAGATGGGAGCGCTGTCCTTGTGCCCGGAGTATCCCAACCTGGCTCCGGCAGGATTCCGGTGAGCCCCCACCTGCTCTTTGCTTGCTGCAGGGACTTCCCGGTGGGAATTGCAGGACATCTCCAGAGAGCTCTAAAAATGTCCCTGCTTCTCCCCGAGTGAGACGCTAACAGAGAAGGGGTAAAGGAGGAACCCACCGCTTTGGGGCCAAAGGGTTCAAAACAGAGGATTCCTGCTTTCCTGCAGTGCATTTACAGATGCCAGCTCCATTCAGAGGGGATAATACCTTATTTTGCTATTTTTTGCCCAGCAGGTGCCACTCGCTGCCTTCCTTCCCTTCCTCAGACATAGGTGGGCGCCCCATGACCTTCTTGCGCCCTCCATGGCTGTTTTAGGCTGGATGTCCGTAACAGCAGCGTGAATCGCGCGGTCGGCTCGCGGGGAAGAGCATGGGCCGAGCGCGAAGGCAGCCCTGCGCGTCCCCCGCTGCCCTGCACACACAAACGCACGCAGAGGACTCGCGCAGGCTCTGATGGTTTAATGATTTGAATAGTCATCCCCGAGGCCGGCTGCATGCTGTAGCCTACACATATGAAGTGATAAAAAAAAAAAAAACACAAAAAAACAAGGTGAATGAGATGAACCAGTCCAGAAGGTTCTGTGGCGGTTGCTTCCTCGCCCTGTGTGGCCCTCTGAGGGCAGGAAAACTGGGGG